TGTGATTGCCGCAGATGAATTGGACTAACAAACGAAATTTTTGAAATTCTAGGATCTTTATTCATAAGATGCCCATATGAAGATCATGAAGACCTAACCCGAGGAACCCAGACAATGATCATCGCTTCTAAGTGAAGTTGGTGAGGTGGTTCTACTCTTTAAAAATACTAGCTGTCAGCAGTATTTTTGTACACAAAAATCTCGTTCAAATTGCATTCTATCTGTTTTAAACTCTACTTTGATAATCATTAAAGGATGGCTTTCAATGCAAGAGGACTTCGAATCCATAACTTTGTCTGCAGTCATACCTTAAATCGTTTAGGCTTACCATCCAGACTGTTCGCAATAGATAGTAGTGTCAACGTTTATACTACTGGAATGATTTTGACTGTAAACCAGTTTTTACTTACCACGTTACTGATCAGTATTCTCGAAATTATTCCTTCATTTACATAAACAAAGTTCGTACCACTAGATAATCTGTTGAATATTTCTTTTTGAAAGTAGCATTGATCACCAAATGATATCGGTTAAAGAACAACAGAGAGCCCAGGAGCACTATGCAGCTGTTTCGTCCCAGCATGGGACAAAAAAGGCGGGATTCAGGAAGTACAAATCATGTGCGGATCAAATTGCAACGCTACGCTACGCTACTCATCATCATAGAACAGAGTATAGCATAACAGTCAACTCTCTACCTTATCTCAACTTCATCGACTTTGGAGAGACCTTCGACAGCATCGACCGAGGAGTAATTTGACAGTTGCTTCAACACTACGGAGTGCCACAAACCTTTATCAAATCCATTCAACAGCTATACGAAGACGCCACATGCCAAGTAATTCACAACGGGAAGCACAGAGATGCCTTTGAAGTGGAGACAGGAGTAAAACAAGGCTGTCTACTATCACCCATGATCTTCCTTATTGCGATGGACTGGATCATGCAGCAAACAGTGAGGAGCGAGAAGAGGGGATACGCTGGACCAGGGATCCCTGTATTCACTCAACTTATACTGTATGGAGTATTATTATTATAAGTATAAAGCTTGTGTAGCAACATGTCGGATACTAGTAGTCATCCGTCCGTATAACACGAATGGATGTATTCTAACTGCCGTGCATGCCAAAACATCGGAAGCATGAGGAATGGTAAGCGAATGAGTACGGAGTAATAAGTTTAGTGCGGGCGAGCGTTCATGGAATATGAACGCCAGCACCCGTTCCGCCATGAGGAAGTCAACCAAACAACTCGTCCAACGCAACTTGTTGTTGTGGCAGAAAATGATCTGATTATCAAAATGGAGCATTCCCATTGTTCAACTCATGGTAAGGTAAATTGCGGAGATTTTCAGTAACCACTCTGCTGCCTCAGTAATGAATGACAGTAATGCATTTGGGTTTCAATAGTCACTAGAACCTTCCTCTAGGATCGAAAACATGAGGTTTACAGTACAAAATATTTCCGCTGCAATTGACACTCTGAAGCTTCGTTTTACTGATGGTCCGGATGGAATACCTTCTGTTGTCATTTAAAACGAAAGTGAAGACATACCTCTATTGCTTCTGAAGTTGTTCTCCATGTCACTCAATAGTTCATGCCACCACTCCATCTGGAAAACTACCCGTCATTCCCACTCATAAATCCGGACCAACTGCACCGTCCGATTAATCTCACATCGGTGGTTTCCAGCGTGATGGAAAAAATAATAAAGAATAGTGTTGCGGACTGCCCATTCGATAACAACTTATTATCACTTTCGCAGCATGGGCTCCTAAAAACCAGATCCTGTGACACCTGTATGCTAGATTTTCTTGAGTACATCACACAAAGGCGTGACTAAGGTCTTTTTGTTGCTGTACTGTTTTTGACTTCAAGAAAGCATTTGATAAAATGCCCCACCAGAGACTGCTCATGAAGCTCAGGTCATTTGGTGTGGAAAACCCCCTTTATATATATATATATATATATATATATGTATATATATAACTGGTTTCAGTCATTTCTTCATGAACGCTCTCAGATAGTTAACTTAAACGATTTCCTTTCCTATCCTCGAACAATTACAATTGGTGTGGTACAAGGAAGTGATATTGGTCCACTTTTGCTTCTCATGTATATTAGTGACATATCTGCAGCCACCTTAATAACAGAGGTAAGGTTTAATTTTCCCTTCTGGTTGCATTTTGAAAAGCTACAGGTCCGACCAGTAAGACTATGAGGTCTCTGAAATAATCTCTCACCTTTTAGGTATTATATGTAATCACTTCAAAAAAGCTATTTAAAGCTTGCCAAAATAGGCACCTAAGTTTTATGTGCCCTTCTTTTGGAGGCAGGAAATCATATCACTGCACAAAACTGCTTGCGGCACCTCTGGATTGTCTCAGAAAATAATACAACTTTGGCTTGTCAAATAGCTACCTCTTTGTTCTTTCATAAAGCCGAAATACACTGCCAGTTTTCTTCCGAATGACTGTAGCTCTCCTTTAGGCAGCCTCAGATGGGGCCTCTCCTGAGTCTGCTTGCCTCATAAGAAGAGTTCGTCATCAAACAAACAAGGCTTATTTTCAAACAAATTACCAATGACGGTATCTATGCCACTTTCATTACCTAACCCGTCATCCGAATAATCCTCTCCTTTCACTGACCCGACACGCTCAGATATACTTGGCAATTAACGAAATTCAGGCTCCACCTACGTGTGAAGAATATCACCCAAATTCCATGCTCTGCAAGTAGCCAAACCCGGTACTTCGCATAAGATGAATCAGGATGTATCTAGGCAGCCGGAAAACTCCATGTTGCAGCAGTAAAAGTCAGTTCTTAAGCTCCTCCTTTTTATGTTATTCGTAATTACATAGATATCGTTTCCCAGGACAATGATGTTGTATTTTTTCTACTGGCAGGCAGATTCTTAAGCAATCCCAGACCGGAGTGAGATGGCGTCCACATCCCTATTAGGACTACCACCGTACGTTGGACAGGCGTGCAGTACCCAGACATACTTCATTCTGATTAGCACAAACAGTCATCTGCAAACTCCGGTCAATATTTCGCGCTTATCCTCAGCATGGTTAACGCTCGTGAGAGGATTTTACAGTGCGCAATCCAATTTTGAATCACTAGGAAGATGAAAGCGTGTACATACATATGGTTTGTGACCCCTTCCCCTCCGAACTCTGAATTTTTCCGTTATGTACTCTGTCGCATGAAATCTATCGTCGTCGGGACCTAACGTCTGATTACACCATGCTGCATTAATTTCCCCTTACACGTTGATTTAATTATTTCAAATCGGTTCTGCACCAGTCTAGAAATTTAAGTGGCATAATTATATAATCATGTCCACAACTCGGCCTATGCTTGTATTTACAGGACTAAATAATAATAACATTGTAAACCAGCTCTCTAACACTCATCTAATTTGAGTTAGCCGTTCGGTGAGCTTGGTGGTGACTCTTACGTCTCTATAAGAAACATTACGCTGACCAATGCAGAATTTGAGTTATCATTCTCAAAACGGCTAGGCGTGGTTGATTAAAAAGCATTTGTGAACGGACTTGCGTCTTTGGCGGAACCTAGTGGCCGCAATCGGTGATTGAGCTCTATGGACAACAAGTAGTAGCTAAAATCTGGACACGTATTCTGTACAACCTGTCATTCGAGTAAAATGGATACCTTTGTCATGGGTTGGCATATGCATCAGACGGTTCCGAAAGTTACTGACGAAAGGGAGCAAGACCTTAGTCAACTGTTCTATGTGTCTAGAAGGCAGTGCCTATTGTTTCTTGTATCACAAACCCACACATACAAAATGAAATGATTTGGCAGGAAAGAGAGCGATTCGGTTGTAATTTGATATGTGAACTCTTGCGCCGAGATATTAAGCGAATGTCGAGTGTTTTGAAAGACTCTGGCAACTCAGTCTCCGTGGCCGCTATGGAAAGGTTTGCAGCCTTGGTAACTCTCAGGGAATAAGTTATGCGCAACATCGTCCCAGCCATGTCCAAAATCTAGATCCTGATTCCCCCCTACGATTATACCTTAACTTAGCATCAGCAACTGGTGAAAGGCTTTTCAGGTAACATGCCAACCATCCTTGAAGGAGCCAAATCACGGGAAAGAAGTGCTAAGTGGACGTACGCTCTTTTGTCTTGGCCTGGAAATCAGATGACAACTTTCGGTCCTTGGGAGAGGAGGGAGATCACCACAACTCTTTCGGCCTTCTGTCACTGAATATATTGATTTATTCGTCGAAAGCGTAAGGAAATTTGAAGGAACAGCCCTGGAGACAGAGTACAATCTGGAGAAATGGAATTGCTCAACGTTCATCCACTTCGGGCCTGATAACATAGGGTCATAAGAAGTGACTTTCCCAAAGGTGTGTCTTTTAGTCAACAAATCGACCAAGACGAGACCGAGGATGACCAGCAATGAATCATACATGAGCAGCATAGCGTGATATAGAACTAAATAGGCTGCATTTGTTTATGCACTGAAACTAGGAATTTCAGCACCCAAAACTAAGTATCAGCTGAACTGTTGCTTTCAGGGTTTTTGGGCTTATTCCGCATCCTAAGGTCGACTATCTTACAGCACCATCGTTTGATGATGCGAACAGTCTCCCACAAGTAGATGTTTTGTCAGTAACTTTTGAAATTCATGTTGATGAGCTCTGACGTGTCTGTACAGAATTCTGTTTTCAGTAACGATAAACGCAAACCTCCGTTTTATTGCCATTAATATATGCGGATTGGGGATTCACATCCTTTTACCTATCTAATCCAATTTACAACTTACGCATAAAAGTTAACTAAAAACGCCCATCTCATCAGAAATAAAAGCAAGAGAGACTTCTCTGCCCAATTAAAAGACATACTCTGGAAACAAGGACTAAATTCCATGACCTGAAATTAGGAGCTCAAAATTGTTGGTTTCCTATACTCATATAATTGTTTTTTGGCATTGGATATTGGATTCTCATTTTTGGATTGGCTCCACTCAAACTGCCCAATCAGCGCTGTGTTTATAGCGTGGTAGATATGACGGCCTCGTACAGTTTGTTGGTTGTCGTCTATTATTAAGTGTAAGTACATCGTATGTTTTCCTGAGTCCTTGGATCACCTTTTTCTCTTCTTTTTTCTCTTCCAGATTCTCACCACTAAATTCACCTCCTCCCTGCAACAGCGTACCACCTACCTACAGGCTAGACGAGGTCTATCAACAGCTCGTCTTTACTTTAAGCTATTTGTTGGATTTCATGTGATGGACATCCCACTTAAATCCAGCGGCGATGAACCAGGTGTTTTGAAGGAGGTAGGCATTTTTAAAACTATCATACTTTAAGATTGACTGTTATATTTCTCCGGCTATGCAGCGACAAATTTTGTTGCTTTTGGTAAGTCATTTTCATCATTTATCTGTGCAGTATAAAAACCGGGAAAATTATCGAACTTTGGACTCTGAATCAATTAAAGATGTTCGTATAAAACCAAACCTTGACCTTATCGAGTTCAATATCAGGGATGGACGGAGTTCTTTTGTTGAATCTACCAGTGATCAGACGTACGTTCCAGTCTCTGCTAATATATAGACCTCTTAAGCGACACTTATATCTTGCGTTCCAACACTGTAACATTCCCCAGGACATTAATTGGGTACTTTGTCAATGGTAAGCTGCATTTATTATTATACTGACATATTAGATGAATGTCACTTTGTACCGCTTAACCGGGATGTTTTGGTTTTGGATACATTGAAAGAATCTATTAGAGGTATGCTCAAGTGATTGTATTGCGTGGAATTATCTTTGTGACATTGCTTATCGTGCATTCAGGTTATGCTAAATTTCAAAGTGTTGGGTACTTTTAACGTTGTGTAGTTTCTTGACATACGTTTAATATTCTTAAGATAGGGTCATTACCATCGTTCCAACTGTTATCAACTCTGAAACTGTAGAAACTGACAAATAGGAGTGGTAGTACTCAAAAATGGGGATCAAAAACCCACAACAGGAATTTCGCAATCATTAACTTTTGGCCCACTTCCTTAAGCCCTTTACTTTCAGTTAGTGTCTCTCGAGTTAAAACATAGCTCCACCTGCTTCGATGTGTGATAAAGTATTGTCATAAGCTCTTATAGCATACCGCATCAACTCTTGTTGGGTCGAGTTACAGTTAGATTTGGTAATATTGTGCATATCCCATCGTAGATATCTGCGAAAGGCCATCCGAAATTGGTTTCCGTTTAGGATTACTATGAGGGGTGTGGCTTTACACTTCACATCTCAATGTAGGGAATTATAACTATGTATTCGTCCTCAATAAATACAAATAGTGCCGTTCACGTCCTGCGGCTAACGTTATTAGCTTCACATAATCTTTGGATACTAAGTTATTCAGAAGAAAAATGAATTATTGTTTCGCATTTGAATAGTGTCTGACTTATATAAGATAATTCCTTGTAATATGTACGAGTGGTGCAAGTAATTAAGGTATCGGAATTCAGAATCTGGTTTTGATTATAAATGTATATTTTCGAAAATGTATTCACCAAAGAAATATGCGCATTACCGTAGTGAGTTAAATCAAACATTGGTTCTCATGTGCGTAATTTTTCACGTCCTAACAGCGTTTCTAATTATTTCTCAATGCGTTTGCTTTGCATTGGTTTCGGTCCTAGTGTTTTCAACTTTGAAATTCATATCTTGTCATTCAGTAGCCTCCTGCGTTGCGTGGCAGTCCCAGATGTTTGCCTGTTATGCGATCTCTAGACTGCATTATTTGCTGATCGCAGTTACCCTAGTTTATTTTTGGTAGTCTCAATTGCATAAATATTAATCGAATTTCCTTTTACGAATTCAGTTCCCATTCAGATCATGTTTCATAAAGAATATTATAGTTCTTGATTGTGGTGTACAACAAAAGCTTGGTACCTCGCACGACAATGTATTGTTTCAGATTGAGATGTTGTGGTAGTCCACAACTTTATGGCTAATGATCCTTATGCTGGAATACTGTTTCTTACTCATGGACAGGAAAGCACTGCAAGACCGTGGTGATTACTGTCTTGACAATAAAGTCTCCAACTTTCCTTTTCATGGGTTCCGGAGATTTACGATGCGCCATTGTTAGAGTAGGGGTATAGATATACCAAAATAAGCAACTCAGCTTATAAATAGAGTTTCAAGTGGCAGGTTATGAGGTGAATACTATTCGTAATTTTCCATCTTCAAATATCAAACCATTGATAAGAGGAGTGGTATTCACACCATTTGAAATTTGAGTGTCCAAACTTAAAATAACGCATTACAAGAATGGTTTATCATTTTACCAGTCGTTGTGAATGGCAAAATGAAGTCATTATGAACTCGGAACTTGTAAAAAGTAGTGTTTGTATCTACTTATGCCACAACAAGTCCGTTTTTTTTTGACTTTGTTACATTTTCTAAGTTGAGCAGGCTAATGACCATGAATGTATAATATCAAAAAGCGGACCACACCTCTGGTAACTTTCGATGACCTTGTATAGTAAGCATTATGTTAGTGGCACTTAAAAAGCCTTTCAGTCATTTGCCATTCTTCTTCTTTGGCACATTAGATACACTTAGATCTACCCATTGATTTGTAGAGCTATAGCTCGTTTTTGACAGTTGACTCAGCCAGTGGGTCACTGGTTTGAACACTGCTCCAGCAATGTAATCCCACTAACAATAAGTGTGGGGCATCTCCTACTTCATGAACATGCATAAGGTTACTGGTTTTTTGATTAAAAATCTTGAGCCGTCAAACATTTTAAGGTTTTTATTATCCGAGATCCTAACATTTTCCACACTTGTGCATATAGGTTGTTGTGAGCGAGTTGTCGACATTTCACCGTCTGTAATTAATACTAGTTTTTAAAAATCCAGGAAGTAGTTGTATAACGTCCCCCCCACCTTGTCTACTTTTTTACAGGGTCTTTTATATAATGGTAAGTTTCTAAGGGGTGCCTCCATGTATAATTGAGGAGTACAATCCTGTCCAACAAATTGCAGGAATACCAAGTAAGAACGATAGTTAATCTACAATACATGTTAGTGGTCATGCATTTGACGAAGGGTTATTAATCGATGAATCCAAAAACTGAACGGATCCTAATCTACTCCATGCAAACCTTGTGGAATTGTGTCTCATTGGTCTAAGTAACTAATTTCTAACTGATGGGTTAAGGGTTCGAACCCAACTCTAAATACCAAGTTTTTAGCAGTCAGGTAATATCATTAGGTGTGGCTTATTGACTTCTGCACGAAAGTGCGCAAGGTCATTGTGTGGATTTCGCTTTTCCTTTTGCCCACAAACCGACTTTTCGTGTGTCTCGTAAAGCCTGAAAAATATGATTTTATTATTATTATTATTATTAGTCCCTTGGGTTCCTAGTGGAACATAGGGCTTCAGTAGCACGCCTCCAGTGACCTCTGTTCTCTGAGATCTTTTGAACCTGGTCCCACGACAGCCCAGAAGCTCTCATTTCCTGCTCGCACGACCTCCTCCATGTCACCCTCGGACGTCCAAGAAAAAATATGATAGCAGCCAATATTTTTAAAACAAGCAACGGAATATATCACGATGGCTACCATATAAATCATATAGGTCATTTTAAGGAAAGGAACAAAAGTGACTTCATTCCAGTAACAGAACTCTAGGTTTGCCATAACTTCGCAAATAAAACGGTCAGTTCCTCTGACTGGAGTCTCGCCTCCATTCTTCAGGTGAGTGGTGGTAAATTTTTCAGGCCAAGTACTCCATGATGTCTCTGTGCTTGGGGTTCGTTTTTGATCTGCACCACTCTGTACGGGCCAGCGTTTACCAACCACGGGGCACAAGAATCTCAGGTTGAAGTTTCCAATGCAGTGAGTCAGGTAATTGCTTTTTAAAGTGCTCCACCAAGCCTTCCATGAATCCTTAAAGGTTGTTGATTAACTTGCTTTCCACCTGAGTTCGTTTCATGGTTGCCAGTAGGTTGCATTGGCTAGGACGATTACCGGTCAGCACCAGATGCAGTTTTTGCACGTATATCATCGCGTTCTGACTACCAAGCTTCACAGTCCCTACCTGAATGCTCCATGACCTTCTATGTGAGAGTCTTTCGCATACTATTATAACCACTGTCCACCGATTTAAATTAACAAGGAACTTATGGAGATCCATTTTTTATTTGCAGGATGTTTTATTAAGCCACAAACGTCTTTATTTACTACCTGGTGCAATCCATGTACTAGCGATATCTGATACTGGTATCACGGGGTTCCCATTCAAGCGCACACTAAGCATACTTTTAACTGACAAGTGGAGAAGTTTTTCAAAGCTTTTCCCCGAAATGATTTAGAGGCTCATAAGATGTAGCATACATCAGTAGCAAGTTTTTCTTGAGTCCTACTCTACCCTATCTATTATCCGATTCGTCTCAGTCTATGAAAGTTGAGTCTAACAAGTTTAAACCGTACGCGTAGTCTCAGGATAGCTGTGCAGGATATCACAATGTAGGGCATCTTTGTTAAGCCAACTGGTTAGCAATTCAAAACCGTTCGGATAGACTAGAATTTCAATCAACGAGCAGCTGAGGGAAATCAAGAAACAAATGAAAATAACAGTGACAAAACAGTACACTTAAAACAAAAATGACAACCATATGATAATGTTTGAAATTATTAGTCTCAAGGTTTTCAATAAATTAAATTTACATGCTCGTAAGAAAGCTTGATGAGGATCCCGAAGTCTCTCTAGTAATGTTCCATAATTCATGATGGATGACATTCTCGAGGCAGCTCTAGAAATGTATATGATGTAGATCTGTTGCCAGAAAAAAGACTACGAACTTGAGTATGCGGTTGGTATCGTCTACTGCACAAAATGCATGAAATGTACTTTGTGCCACCGAATTGCAGTGATTTCAAATCATCGGGAGTCTGTATATACATTCACCCTTAGTAATGAAGACTTACAAGTAGTGGCTCTATACATTCAGTTGTTTTGTTTGTTTTTGAGACTCTCAAGTTGTCGGTGAACTCATACATACTCTTTTTCTTACAGACAATTCAAAAGCACATTTATGTCCGAAGTGTTAGACAGTCCGAAAGTGAAAAAACACCGTTTTGTGGTTTGCATTACGTGCGACAATGCTCAAGTATATATATATATATATATATATATATATATATATATATATATATATATATATATATATAATGCAGTCACTTTCAACCTACCATCCATATCTTTATTGCTCCCGTAATGGTTGATGAAGAATGGTCGAGTTGACTAACTGTAATGAAATCCATCTTCCTGACTTGTCTATTTCGTTAAAAGAAATTCCGAACCTCATATTTTAGTAAGTTTCAGCTTCAGTTGGGTACTCAGAAGACGAAAATTAGGTAGCACCGAAAGTTCTCATAGTTTCTCGGTCTCACCGGGTGATGAAAACCTTTAAAAATACAGTGCTTAGTCATGGAGTGGTGATATTACTTTACAGGTTACGTGTCATTCCAGTTTCAGTTATAAAACAGGGGTATTTTATAATTTATAATGATCCCTTCCTAGGGCTTTGTGTTCCAGTTTTGTTTAAATCAGAACATATTTTAACTTATATATTAAAGTTGGAACCGCAAAACAGTTTAAAACCTTGGTCACATTACCTCTATACTTTGACAGAGAAGTCTTTTTTCTGTGAGTTATGTTAACCTATGTTGTCTTGTAAAATATATTCTGATTTACCTTTCACACAGTAATTATTTTTGTAGCACTGCAACATGAAGACCTAACGCATGAGTTTGTTTTCGAAATTATGAGTCACATTTATTGTGTAGGGTCAAAGAGAAAAAGGTGAGGTGTTAGTATTCTTAACCTAATACTTAGAAAACCTGATTATTATTATTACTAGACTGTATAGCAGCTGTTAGACATTTTGCGAACATAAGTCTAGTCATGTATGTTTGATTCTTGTTTCACACTTTAAAAATAATAAGGTTTTGTTCACCTATGACTTCAGTATTTGTCTACATTTGAGTGTACTGGGCATCAAGTCGTTTTTTTTTGCGATTGGAATTATAATTTTCGGCGGTGGACACCCACTGCACTTAGGATTTTGACTGCGCTCTCGAGGTAGTGACTAGTCTGTTTCAGAAAAACGAAACTAACCCTTAGGCTCACCACCATGTCCAAGCAATCATATTCGGTTTTCAACTTTTTGGTTGCCTAAATGTGGAACTGTGGCTCATCGGTTTAACCAGTTGACTTTTAACCAGTGGGTCATTAGTTTGAACTCTGCTTCTATTATTGAGGTTTGGGCAGCCACGCACTAACACAGCAGATGTGATTCGTTGCCTATTGCACGAACTTGGATATGATTATTGAGTAACATGATTTATTTATAGTGGGTGGTACTTTTTTTCCTATGAGCGTGCCAATTCACAAATAATGCCAGTATTTCATGTCATTTTCCCATATGTTAAATTCTTGATTTCTTCTTTAAAAACATCTTTACATAGCACCTATATAGTTTAGTTACTTCATGTCAGTGGTGCATCCATTCTTATTTTCTAATTCCCTTTCAAATCCCTGTTACTCATCGCTAGAAATTAAAACCCATCAAGCTAAGGTGTCAGCTGATTGATATCCAAAATAATCAGCCAATAATTTAACAACTGTCATAAAAAGTATTTATGTCTAAGATAATATTAAAAATTCTATTTTCTATACCTTCATCTTAAATCCAATTAATTTTTACTCAAAGTAACTTTGTCTACTTATCTACTACCCCATAGTGGATAGGATCAGCCAGAATTCTGATCCATCAGCTTCAAGTAATGTGGCACCTGCAGCATTTGTGTCAGCTCGTCTCAGAACTGCTGATGCAAACGCTCTTCGAGGTCCCATGGCAAGTCGTCGTAAACCTGCAGATAGTGACCCCGATGTTATATTTCTCAGACAGCAAACCCAGGCTCCATGGCGTCCAGTGCGGTACAAACGTTACATTGTAAGTTCACCATCCAGTAATATTTCCCATAATATCTTAATTGTCTCACTTCAGAAACTAAGTGTTGTAAACGACTGCTCACTTCGTCCACAGCTCTCAATGTAGCTTGTGATAATCGTGAACGGATTCGAATATCTTCAATACCCGTATTTATCTCTTTCCCAGTTTTTGTTTATTTATCGTACGTTCTTTTAGGGCTTCTTCATGCCGTGTAGCGGTATGAACATTGTTTTATATGTTTGATAGGAGCAATAATATATGGATGTTATGAACAGCCTGTCTATACCATTTACAAATTGCTTGACTATCTTGATACTGTCCACCTATCCAAGCCAGGCAATCAAATTAGGGTGCTCTTTTTCATTAGACTGCTATATCACAATCTTTCTGGGTACCCTTGTTCTTATGAAGTTGTTACATATAAAGCAGGGTAGTCATGAATCACTGGTCCAGATACTCTACTTTCAGCCGTGTAGTCATTGGTTTGACTGCCGCTTCACATACCAAGGCTTGGACAACCACCTAGTGCGATTGGAGTGGCTCACTGTTTAGTGCACACTACTGCATATGGTCCTTAAGTAACGTTTTTTAAATTGATCTGTAGTCGTTCAGTATTGGGATCACTAATCTGTTCAAGAAGATTCAATGGTTAAAATAGTGTCTAGCTAGTGTCTTATCTTCCAGTAGGTAAATCAGTTAGTTTCAGTTTGAAGTCTAGTCAGATGGGGGAAAGAGATTGCAAAATCTATTTACTGGATGGTGGTCCTGTTATAAAATTTTACTTACAGCCTTCTGAAGCTTTCGAAAGACGTATTCCATTATTGTATCCGAACGATGATATGGTGGAACCAACTCGAGGTCGTACAATGGGTCCAAGTCAAGAAGAATATGTTGACAATTTTTTGGCTTCAGTAACGCCAAACGTTGTTGAGTAAGTCTTGACATTGCATTCAGAAATATCTTTCTGCCTTATTTCTTTTATTGAAAAAGATTTGACAACTAAACAAATCATCACTGCACTTTATGTGTGAGTTATTTATTAACCGAGGTGTGATCTAATTGTTGAAGTTTTCCGAATTCCCACATCCACAAGGCACACTCTAAGTCAGGTTACTAGTATGATAGTTTGGTGCATCATATTTCTGTCAAGTCGAAAAATTTACGGAAAAACCAATAACTGGGTCTTTAGTATAAGTATAAAGCTTGGACACCGTCCTTTATTTACTTGTTAAAAAGTGTTTCTGTGTCTTAAATCCAAACCTGCATTGTCTATTTAGTCATCTAGTAATCTGGCAAACTGCAACAGGATGTTTCAAATCTCAGTGAGGAACTTAAGTTTCTCAAAGTTCTAAATTTTCCCATTGAGTACTAAAAGAAGAAAGACTTTATCGAACAGATTTGTTTTCTACGATATCACCGTCAAAAGTCACTTAATCACATTTAATTATGACTGGTGTTCACGTTTATTAGTACGTAGTTTAAATATGTCAGTCAATAATTCTCAATAGGTTGTGGTCAGGAAAATGATTTAAGAGAGATGAAACCATTTGAAAATGGGAATAAGTAAATATGAGCAAAATGCAAATTCTTCATTATAGCCCTGTTAAGTGGAGCTGGTAATTTTCTCTTTTAATTTCCCGAACTGTATCTATTTATGACTGCAACCAGATAGCCTGATAAACAACGCTTCGATGCTTCTTTAACTGATAATACGCATTGAACATTTTGAGTTCCATAAATTGTTGACTAGTGCTGCGTATGTCAGATCCCCAAAAATATAGACGCTTTAAGCCTAAATTCATAAATTCGCTCCATCGAAAACTTGAATTCATGTATTCTGGGTCTTTTTCTGCCACACGTATCGTTTATTTTTGATCGCTTTTCAAGATACCATCTCTCTATTTGTTATCCTTCCACTTTTAATATGCTAGTTTTCCCGTTTCTCTCAAGGGCGTCATCCCCTTTGTGTATAAACTCATGAGCTCTGCCCCTATTTCATACTCTTCCTGTTGAAGTAAACACTTCAGTTTAGTACTATCTTTTTCCTTGTGTTAGCCGAGCAAGTTGTTGAGTATCATATTTCGTTCATTTGGTTTCCGTATTAAGCGTCCCTAGTTTAACCGTGTCCGCAAATCTCAACATCTGTTTCTTTAAATAAATCTTTTGTGTTTACTTGTACCAAAATAAAATAAGCTATCTGAATTTTCGTAAAGCTAAAATTGATGTACACATACGTTTGAGTTTCGTACATGCATCCTGAACGATGGGTAAAACATTTCAAGGAAGAGTTCAGCTGACCTTCAGCTACTATTCTGTTGCCCGAAATGCAGTCTGGTCGTGAATGGGACATCAAGATATGACCCCTGACAATTGCAGAAGTCGAGAAAGTTGTAATTAACCTGAAGCGAGGGTGTACGGTAGGACCAAACAAACTATTTATTACCAGAGATATTCATCGACAATGGTAGAGGACTATTGATTAAGTTAACTGTTATAGAGGAGTGAGAGATGATCCCCTCTGACAGTTCTCAGTCAGTGGCTTTTCCAGTCTTCAAGTAAGATCAGAAGTTCACATGTGATGACCACAGGGGAATCAGTCTGACGAACTACGTCTCAGACACGTATGCGGAACCTGAGTGTGGTTATTAAACTGACCTCATCTGACCATAGTAGTGAATCTTCAAAATCCACCGTACGAGTATTCGAAGATCTAATAGTTAGCTCTCGCAGACTAGCTGGTGTAGGCATAGCATTAAGTGTAGAGCAGAAACTGCGCTTCTCGATTGGATACTCACTAA